AGTAGTGGTGCACTCAAACTCTGTCAAGTTTTTTACCAATAAAATTTGATTTGGCTTGGTTTCGGTACAAATATTAAATCCATTGCACGTTCTACGCGCACAAAAAAAAAAAATCAAACTTAAATGCAAATAAAAAAGTACATTGATGTAGCCATCTTAATTAAACTTATGTCTGTCATAAAGAACATCTAACGTAAAATCATACCACAAAATGCTTTGCTTGTTACATACCTAAACTACTGTCATGTGGTTTGCATGGTCTCTCATTGCGTCGGGCCAGGCCTAGTGCTACCAAGGCAACCGTCCGGGGCCAAAAATAATTGAGGGCACCAAAATTATTAGGGAAGTATATTTATATATGTTTTCATAAGAGTATAAATTTATAAAATTTAGTTCAAACTAGGCAAAATATGATAAATACAAAAATCCGAATAACACAAGGATTTATACGGGTTCTGCATAAGTCTACGTCTTGAAGAAATATCACTAGTATGCAGTGGCGGGGCCAACATGGAGTCATTGGTTGTCCTTGACCCCAACAACTTCAGAAGCCCCATGTATATTTGTTTTGTATATTGTATTTGACCCTATAAACACCTAAGACAAACTAAATAACAACATCCTCTTCATACTTCTTCTATTTTCTTCTATCATATTTGTCTTCATTTTCTCTCTTCTTGTATGAAATACTTTAGTTGAAAAGCTTTGGCATCCTTCAACATTACTCTACATGATCTTGCATCCACCCTCAACAAGCCTATAGAAATAATAGTAGTTGTTGACATATGTTGGCATAAACTTTCGACATATATTGATAAGAATTGGCAGATGCCTACTAGGTGCTGGACAAAATGGCCCAATGAAGTATTTTTTGGTTGATATAATGAGCCCATTATTCGAAAATCCTAGGTACACTACTGCTAGTATGAAACGGAGATTACAAATTATTTAAGCTCTCATAACCCAAATCCCATATACAACCAGATCACTCTCCTGCTCCTACAAACAAATCTCATATTCTTGAAGAAATGTCACTAGTATAGTAGTATAGTAGTATGAAACAGAGATTACAAATTGTTTAAGCTCTCACAACCCAAATCCCATATACAACCAGATCACTCTCCTACTCTTACAAACAAATCTCAGATTCTTGCTCAAAAAGATACAGACAACAGAACTCTTACAGACGTGCGAAGCAAATATAAAAGAGCCCATGAAAGATAAGCTAATGAGTGGAAAGAGTTGCGTTCTCCCATGTTTGGACGGTTTAATTAGTCCGACGGATAAGAGTGGAAGGGTTGGGATTATTTATACGTTACGGATTGGTCGGCGTTTGGAAGAAATAATTTGAGGCTAAATCGCCAAAATGGTCTCTGAGATTTGCATAACTCATCACTTTGGTCCCTGAGATTCCAAATCAATAAAAGTGGTCCCTGAGATTGTCCACCATCCATTATTTTGGTCATTCCGTTAACAACTCCGTTAAGTGTCCAGAAGCTCTTGGCCGGAAGTTTAGGCAATTTTCAAAGCTTCGTAACTCAATCGTTTCTTAACCAAATTCGACCCATAATATATCAAAATGAAGATAGGAAAGTGTAGAATAAGATTATACCTATTTTGAAGCCCAATGTTTTCTGGAGATAGCCGGAAAATAGCCTTAAAGTTGACTGGTCTGAGTGAAAACTTGAAAACTCGCCGGAAATGGGGTAAACTTTAAACGTTCATAACTTCTTCAATACTCAACGAAATCAAGTGATTCAAAAATGAAAATCATACTTCTCGACGAGAAAAAGAGAATGGTACATTTTTTGATGGCTAACTCGCCTTGGTTTGGCCGGAAAACAGCTCGAAAGTGGCTTGGTCTCGAGTTAGCCACTTTCAAGCTATTTTTTCAGCCAAACCACGGCGATCTAGCAGTATAAAAAGATACCATTCTTTTTGTCTCGTCGAGAAGTATGATTTTAGTTTTTGAATCACTTGATTTCGTTGATTATTGAAGAAGTTATGAACGTTTAAAGTTTACCCAGTTTTCGGCGAGTTTTTCAGTTTTCGCTCGGATCAGTCAACTTTGAGGCTATTTTCCGGCCATCGCCGGCAAACATTGTCCTTCAAAATAGGTATAATCTTATTCTACACTTTTCTAACTTCATTTTGATATATTATGGGTCAAATTTGGTTAAGAAACGATTGAGTTACGAAGCTTTAAAAATTGCCCAAACTTCCGGCCAAGAGCTCCGAGACACTAAACGGAGTTTTTAACGAAATGACCAAAATGATGGATGGTGGACAATCTCAGGGACCACTTTTATTGATTTGGAATCTCAGGGACCAAAGTGATAGTTATGCAAATCTCAAGAATCGTTTTGACGATTTACCCATAATTTTATAAGATAAAACGATGTCGTTTTAGGTTCCCATTAATCACGTTTCCAGTTTTCTTGCATTTTCCCATTGGGGTTCTGACACATTCGTCTCGCCCGCCAAGCAGCCTCTGCCGCCAACCTCCGATTTCGCACTTTCTCCTTCGTCTCCAAAATGTCTTCCCTTCACGTTTCCCCAAACACCATTTCCCAGCCTCTCAATCTCCGCCGTCGATGCATTCCCAATTTAGGCAGAGAAGTCCGACTAATCAACGGCCGGAGGCCGTCCGCGGCTTGCCTCAGCGTGGACGTGGAAGCACCGGATACCGCCTCCAAATTAGGGCTTTTGAAGAGCAAGGAGGTAATGGAGACGGAGGCGAAGGTCCTGCTGCAGACCTACGCGAGGACTCCAGTGGTGCTCACCAGTGGCAAAGGTTGTAAATTGTACGATACCGAGGGGCGCGAGTATTTGGACCTGAGCTCGGGGATTGCGGTGAACGCGCTCGGCCATGGCGACGAGGACTGGCTGAAGGCGGTGGTTGATCAGGCCGGAACCCTTACTCACGTCAGCAATCTCTACTATTCAATCCCGCAGGTTTGCCCTTCATCTTAAATTGGGTTTCGTTACGTATGCTTGTTTGGTTCCCGAGAAAGTGTCGGGAAATTGTAAAAGATTGCATTTTGCGCATAAACAGCGTCGTTATTCTGGTTTTGGGCTTCTGGGTATTGCTTGGTTGCCGAGAAAGTGTAGGAAAAAATGTGAAATGTTGCATTTTGCGTCTGACTGGCGTCGTTTGTCTGGTTAATGGACTTATGGGCATTGCTTGGTGTAATGTAGGTGGAGCTAGCAAAGCGTCTGGTGGGTTCTAGTTTTGCAGACCGTGTGTTTTTCACTAATTCTGGAACCGAAGCGAACGAAGCAGCCATTAAGTTTGCAAGGAAGTTTCAGAGACATACTCACCCTGATGCGAAAGAGCCTGCCACGGGCTTCATATCTTTCACAAACAGCTTCCATGGGAGGACCATGGGTGCTCTTGCCTTGACTAGCAAAGAGCATTACCGGTCTCCTTTTGAACCTGTTATGCCTGGAGTCACGTTTGTGGAGTATGGAAATATACAAGCTACCAAAGAACTGATTCAGCCCGGAAAGACTGCCGCTGTGTTCGTCGAACCTATTCAGGGTGAAGGCGGAATTTACAGTGCTTCAAAGGAGTTTCTCCAGTATCTGCGTACTGCATGTGATGATGCCGGTGCTCTTCTGGTGTTCGACGAGGTAATCAGCTACTTTTTATCTTCAGTTTGTGCTCAATTTAAACAAACTAGATGGTGTATTTTGTGCTGGATTCTCTTGTTAGCATGCGATATAGTTTTTATGTTTTCTCCAAAATGTTTTGAATTTGTTTGGTTCGGATTGCAATTTCACTGGACAATTCGTGATTTCATTGATCCCTTGGATAATGGTCGTTATGGCCTCGAGCCATTCCCTTTCCCAACATGAAATATGAATCCTTGCATAATGCATCTGATTTTCTTGTAGTAGATTCTTCCTACATTCCCAATTCTTATATCGGCAATATTACTCTCATTGCTTCTTTATGTTATGATTTCGTCAATCTGGGGATATGGGATATTAAATAGGCCGCAGTTCGAATTCTCAAATGTCAAACTTCATTATTATGCTCACTTTCCTTCATTGTTGTTCTTGTTGTTTCTTTTACTCATTATTGTATTTTCAAAGTTCTTTCAGAGGGATAAGTTAAGGGATTCAAGTTAATGCTCTCGTCGATGAGGTTTAAGAGTAATGCTTTCTCTTTTTCTGTAGGTTCAATGTGGTTTAGGTCGAACTGGGTATCTCTGGGCTCATGAGGCTTACGGTGTGTTCCCAGATATAATGACACTTGCTAAGCCACTTGCTGGAGGCCTGCCCATTGGAGCTGCATTGATGACCGAAAGAGTGGCTTCAGCCATAGCTTTTGGTGACCATGGAAGTACTTTTGCTGGCGCACCTCTTATCTGTAGCGCAGCCTTAGCTGTTGTCGACAAAATATCCGATCCCAAATTTTTGAATAGCGTCTCTAAAAAAGGTATCTACTTCAAAAACATCTTAAAGCAGAAGCTGGGAGGGAACCCACATGTTCGGGAAATACGTGGTCTAGGGCTTATTATCGGAATTGAATTGGACGTCTCTGCCTCAGCCGTTGTGGATGCATGTCGAAACTCTGGCCTGTTAATATTGACTGCTGGAAAAGGTAATGTTGTGAGGCTGGTGCCTCCATTGATCATAACTGAGCAGGAGATTGATGTTGCAGCTGATATTCTGTCCCAAGCTTTGTCGGTACTTGATGAAACTAATTCAAATTAGGAGGATCAAAGTTGCATTTTGTTGTAGATTTCTTAAGTTACTGTATTAATATTGTTGTAATTTTGTAGCTCGTTAAGTTTTTTTTTTTTTTTTTCCTTCCCTTCTTTTGGGCTCGCCTGATAACGTTTTAGTAAGAAATAATAGATTTGGGTTGAGTTTGCTTGTTATTTGGGTTTTGCCTTAAGTTTCACAAAAAACATTCTCTCTATTCTCTGAAAAATAGTATCAAAACCGGATATAAGCATTCGATTACTAATCTACATACAACTCACACTACATAAGAAACCAGATTAAGGTGAAAGAATATATCGAATATTGAAAGTTGATATCATCCTTCGGGTTTCCAAGTTGATTGAGGATGGAAGCAACCCTGGAAACCTATACTTTACATTATTTTCTTACAAGCATTGCGGTAAAAATTTACAAAGGCATGTAATTACATCACAACCAACAATTTTACCTGACCCTGTAAGGACTAGTCAGCCTGGACAAGTTGGAATTCAACTGTTGCAGACCGAGCTTCCGATTATTTTTGTGCCACAGCATGAATTGTTTGTAAATTGCAGCATAGTAGGAACTACAGAGGTAATACATCCATCTTGAGCCAGAGAACTAATATGCAGAATCCTGTTTCTTTTAATGATGCATTGCCAGAGCTCGTCTGCACGTAAAAGCCAGATTCTCATAGCTTTCAAAGTTTCTGCACTTGTAACTACCACAACTTTTGCATGCTGCTTACTTCACTATGATTTTTTGACTTTGTGGTTGGTTGTCCCAAAAAAAGAAGATGCTATCGAACTTGAGTACTGTGTATATTTGCTCCTCAGCGCCCTTCACTTCACTGGTCGGACACCAACAGTTCTCACACGGAATCTAAACTGAGGTTGAGAGTCTTCATCATCATCGTCCTCATCATCCTCTTCACTAGAGTCATCTTCGACTCTGTCCCACCGTGCATAGTCCAAAGAAGAGTGTCCCTTTGGTTTTGGAATTGCTTGCCATCCGTTTTCTTTTTCTTTTTCTTTTTCTTTTTCAGACGATACCTTGACTGCACGAGCGGCAACAACTTCAGCTGGGGAAATGGTCTTTATGTAGTTAACTTTTGGATCCCTTCCTTGTGGAGAAACTTCCCTGTTTACCGGTGTCTTGGGGGGAATAACATCGGCAACAGCAGTTGTCTCATTAACCTCAGGAATCTGTTCCTTTCCTGCACTTGAAAATACAGCATCTTCTTTTTCTTCGTATTGCTCCACTTTCTCCGCATATCTATTTGGCTCTGCTTCATCCTCCTCATCTTCTTCCTCTTCTTCTAGCTCTGCTTCGGATTCAGGTATTGGAGCAAGTGACTTTCCTCAAGCAGAAAAATAAACTCTTTACTCACAGCCAGGAAATTGACAATTGCAAATTTATGATTTCAGCACCGGCTGCACTGCTGCTGACGATGATGATGTTCATAATTGTAAATTTTTGCAACAGCGGTGTTCATAATTGTAAATACAATGATGAATAAGATGGTTATAAGTCAGCAAAATGTCCCAAATGACACTGAACAAAAACCTAGAGGTTGTTCGAAGGGTAGGGGATTTCTTTCGGGTTTTAGGTGACAACAAAACCATCCATACTAACTGGCAACCAAACCTCAAACTGCCCTTAAGCTTCTATTATTGATTTGTACCAGACAATAAAGGTCAATCATTTGTAAAACAATGTAGAAAAAAAATAGCAGAAATAACGAGAGAATTATACCACTTGTGTCTTCAATCGGGCTTGAAGGTTTTGATAAATTTCTGATGATGGATTTAACTCGATGAGCCGATGAACATCAAAGAGTGCCGAGTGATATTCCTTGAGGGTCACCAAGGTCTGCGCCCGCAACATCAATGCTCCAGTGTGATTGTAATCAAGCTCAAGCACTGAGGTACATTCATCTGCTGCCTAAAATATAGTCGAATGAAGTCAACCAACAGATCAACTATTAGAAAAAGAACAAAATTCCAACCATCTAATTCCACATTTTTATTTAGAAAATCAAAATCGAGATCCAGAACGCAATTTCCAGTCGCAAAATCATGTCTTGAACTCATGATACCCTCACTGTCACTGAACTCATCATTAGAAAACACAAATTACTTGCTCTAATCAGCTCATTGGGATCAAAATTGTGAAAACGACGCAATTTTCAGCAGAAAAATCGTGTCTTGAACTCGCGATATCCACACTGCCACTGAAATTTTCGTTCGATAACACGAATCTAGTTCTAATCAACTCATCGAGATCGAATATTGAAAAAATTGAACAATTTCGTACAGCAAAAACGAATAGATAAAGCGATAGAGAGGGAAAAAAAAGCGCGAACCTTTTTGAAATCGTGGAGCTTCAAGAAGCAAGCAGCTCGGTTGCTGTGGAGGGCGATCTTCTGGGGTTTGGTCTTGGCCATGGATAGGGCTTCGGTGTAAAACCCTAGCGCCTCCGAGTAGCTACCTTCTCGGTACATCTGGTGGGCCCGCTCAATCTTGTTCACCGGCGCCGAAGCCATCGTATCCTCCTCCGCCCGCCAATCTCAGCCGCCGGAAATTTCACAAAGTTGTTCACTGTTAGCTTGCGATTACTGCCACCAACAAGTGAATCGGGGAGAGAGAGAGAGTGTGTTTGGGGTGTTTTTGAATTGTGATTTACAAAGCTGGGAGCGTCTTGTCACAGCGATTTTGATTTTCCTTTTATTTAAATTTGCTCTTTTATTTGGAAAAAATAAAAAATAAAAAGAACGATTGGGTGGTCTCACGTGACTGCCCACATGTGAAGTCAACAAACGAGTGCGAGTTGTATACTCGTGTGAGGATTGAGGAATTCAAAGACGAGCGAATATGAACGTAATATTATGGTCTAGTAATATTCTTTTTTATTATTAATTGAAAGATTTTAAGTTTGATTCTCCCTAATTGAATTACATTATTACTAGTTTATTATGAGATTTAGTTTAGTTCATAAACAAATTTAAATTTTGCCATAAAAAAATAATAAAGAATTTTATTCAGTTAATTAAAAAAATCAATGACTTCTTCCTATTTTTTGGATAAACATCAATGAGTTCTTTTGATGTCATCATTTTCACTATAAAAAACAATAAAAATAAAAGGCGTTTAAAACATACAAAGACAAGCGTACTAATTTTGCAATAGTTTGGAAAATGGACAAGGTGCACTTTGGCCAGTTACAATCGTTGTTGACAGAAAACAGGTGATGGTTTCTAGATCTCTTCTATCAAGATCATCGGATTAAGTAATTCAGATCTTTCAAATTTTATTCAACAGTAAAAAATTATTATAGTTTTTAAAGAGTCAAAATAAATAGGCCGTTGAATGAAATTTAAAATATTCGAATCACTTAATCTGATGATCTTGTGGAAGAGATCCGGTGATAACCTCTTCTCATAGTAGCAACACTAGAAAAACAAAGGAAGTTGCAGGGCAACCTGACAGAAACAGTGAAGTTGAGTAATGTGCATATTTGCTCCTCGCCCTCCTCGTTACTTCGCCGGACGAACAACAACAGTTGTTACATGGAATCTTTACCGAGGTTGAGATTATTGATCATCATCATCATGGTATTCCTTTTCTTTCGCCCCATATCTACTACATTATTAATGATGTACAAAGTTCTAAAAGAAGTTAAGAGTTAATTGGACAACGGATTTGGTCTAAATAGAAGACTATACAGATTTAAGTAAATTTATTATACATCGTACAAGTAAGTGTCTATTTATAGTTGAAAAATACATAATTGTATTAGTATACATAATGCAAAATAAAATGACATATATATCATATTGAAAACAAGTGGAACAAATATATAATGAGTATTCATCCAAATATTCAACAAGTCTCTTACATTTTATTGAAAAATATAAAATCCAAAATAAAAAGTTATTGATTTTTTATCTAAGTGAGAGCTAGGACCTTGTAGGTTCAGGCGTCATTTCTTAATTCTCAAACGCCTAGGAATAAATCAGAACGTTAATTAGCCGTTTAGTGCCTAGGTGGAATTTTTTAAAATAGTGATACCATGTATGTTAAGATCGTACTGACAAGCAATCAAAATTTTCTTAAAATGATTTTAAGAGAAGGGACTCCTATAACAAATTTAAGAAAAGGAAAATAATTTGATTTTAATTTTTTGTTTTTTTGTTTTTGAGTTCAAAAGGAAAATAAATTTTGAGCAACTAAAAAGCCTTGTACTTTTTTAGATATTTATTTTTGTTGGAATGAGATATTTAGAAACCAAATTAAAGAACAATAAAAATGACAAAAATAGAACACGTGTTACTTAATCCAAACAAGGAGAACCTATTCGGATGAGAAATCTCACACATCTGTACGTGCCAACGTGGCAACGATAAAACGCCAATGAGAAAAATCGCAAAAGAATTATTGAAAAAAACGAAGAAGAGGAAATGAAGTCTTAAAACACAGCGATTATTTTCTCTCGCGCTCTCTCTCCAAAGTCTGCACAACATAAACCCTAAAATCCAAATTGGGAAGATTGGGTAGGATTTTGCCCTAGTGCTGCCGTCTTCGCCCATTCAAAGGTAACGTTAACTTCTCTTAACTTCGGTTTCGGGCTTTTAGCTTCTCCGTTCAAGTTTTCCTGCTCGTCGAATTCTTCGAGTTTTTTTGAGATTTTTTTTTACGTAAATTAGCTCATTTGGGATCGTAGAAGTACAAACAAAAAATTGGGTTTTGTTTGTTTGGTTTGAATAATCTGTTTCTGTAGTTATTTTTGTAATCTTGTGGAAGTTTGGGGTTTTAGGATAATCTTCTGTTTATCTTAATTGAATTTGGAAAAATAGGCTGCAGAAAAGAATCGCGGGCGGATTATGGATTAAATGGGGAAGAATATATGTGTACGTGCGTGTGTGTTCTGTCTAGTTTTCGTTGTCCGGTCTTGTATTTATATTTGTAGAGTTTGATAATTACAATTATGATTATATTCATAAGATACGTTTTAATTGATTTTTGAGTTTTTGGCTTTCGCGGTAACCAAAGGAGTAACAATGAGACCATTTACTTCACTTGTTTACAAATGGAGTTTGGCAATGGTTGAGGTAGCGAAGTTGTTAAGAAGTTTTCTAAATCTTTAGCATTCATGCATGCACATTTTGGCTATTCTGCTCAAACTTCAGAAATTGAGGCTTGGTACTCTTTCCGAGATAGAAATGTGGTGGTGTTTATATAGTTCAATGATGAATGAAAGTAGTTCTCCTTGTCTCATGCGGTAAATTCAAGAAAGTAGTGGCTTTTGATAAAGATAGTTCATATTGTGCACATCATTGTATTCCACTAGTGTAATAGATAGAATACTGTTGAAGGACTTGAGAAGGATTGGAAGAACCCTAGAGATTATTAGCTTTGAATTATTTGGCGATGTCGGCACCATCAAATAAGTCAATGAGGAATCAAGATTTTCTGTCCAATATATAGATTTGGACCTTGTTTTTTTTTTTTTTTCATTGTGGTTATCATTTATATTTGAATAAACTTAAGTGGAAAACACCAAATTGGACCAATTTGAATCATGATGCAAGAGTATTAGAGAAACAGAAACTTCAGGCGTCTGTGCAAATTCACTGAAATGGAAGAAAAACTTTAAAATGTAGGAAAAGAGCTAGAAAGCTTGATTTCGTAGAAGATGCTGCGAACAAAGTAGAATTTGAGGGTAAAAAATGTGTCTGGTTTTCTTATCTACGCGTATAGCCTATTTTATTTTATCTTTTTCATTTGTAAACTTTGTGATTACTACTACTTTTTTATTTTGTTTTATCCTGTTCTATAATAGTCTTTCTGACCCATTTTGGTAATCCATGAACAGGAATCTGGTGAACTTTGGTGATATAGTCTTTACAGTTTTCAACAACAGAAGTTGTTTATATCAGTGTTATTTTAATTTGGGGATCTGAGATACATATGGCTAGTTCTTCCCCTGCTGAATCCACTCCTCATAGCGTGAATGATGGAAGTACCCATAAAGACATTCAGGACAGGATAGAGGAAGGATCCTATTGGTACTTCTTTAGAAAGGAAATTGAAGAAAATTCTCCATCTAGACGAGACGGCATTGACTTGAAGAAGGAGACATATTTACGCAAGTCATACTGTTCTTTTCTACAAGATTTGGGTATTAGACTTAAAGTGTGAGTTTTTTAGCCTTCCCTCTTATTTCGTTCACTTTTTCTTTGTCTCCAACCAATTAATATTTCTGTCAGATGTGATTCCATCGTTGGTAGTATGTCCTTAATCTTAAGCTTGAATTAAGTCTATGTCACGCCATTGATTTTCTTTTTAGGGTAATTCTCACCTTACTACCCTCAACTATCGTGAAATTCACACTTTGCTACTCTTAGTTTTTTTTTTTTCTGACACTTTAATACTTCCGTTAGGGTTTCCATCAAGTTCTCCATTAAGTACTGACATTGCATAACTTTGGCCCACCATATTGTTTAGGCTTTTAGGGTTGAGGGTTTAGTCTCAGGGATTTAGAGGTCAAAATCACTTGGAACCCCTAAATCCAAATAAACTCCAACAGTCCCTAATACCTACTAAACCTTCATTGAACAAAAATAAATTATGTGCGGTATAAAAGAGACTTTGTGACAAACTGATTGATCACGTATTTGTTAATGTTTATGTAGGTAAATGTATTGTTCAAATGTTACTCTAGAAGTGATTGTGCATTATACATAATGCATCAACGGGTTTAATTGGTAATATTAATATAACATTAGGGTGGATGTGTCTAATAAAAATGTCAAAGCGTTAATAGCTTTAGGAAAGAATGAATTAAAAGTTAAAACCAAATCATGTTTGCTCGGAACTTACCGTATGGATAATGGGGTAGTTTCAAAATGCAAAAGCATAACCCTTTTGAAATGCAATTCAGATTGGGGATGAACTCCTGGATTATATGAGAATGTTCCTACCTTAGGAACTTAGTATGTTTGAATACTTTCTTTAATCCCGATTTGTGTATGAATTGAATTATGATTATTTGAGTCTTATGAGGGTTACTTTGACAAAAAAAAAAAAGTTTTATGAGGGTTAAAGTCTAATTGAAAACACACCCAATTGAATCAATCTGACAAAAAGAGATGTGTTATTCTTTTAAAAGTCCGAAGAGGTTATTACAATTCATGCATGTAAGTTTAGACAGACATATTCATGTATGTTTTGGAAAGACTATTCATCAGCACTGAACTTATCCAACATGCTCTGAGTCCCATGTAAATGGCACTTAATTTAAAAAAACAGAATTAACTTTGAGTTGAATCTTACTCAATATCCCTGTAGGTTTGAAAACCTCATGTTAACCACTGGAACTATCCTTGTCAATATCCTACTACATATCTTTTATCTTGTTTTGACTCATTAGTTCAGCATGATGAAGATCCTGAATACTTTGTTATGCAGACCCCAGTTGACGATTGCAACATCCATAATTTTCTGTCATCGATTCTTTCTTCGTCAATCACACGCAAAGAATGATAGAAGGGTGAGTATTTGAAACTTGAACGCCCCCATGCCTATGGCTTGCATTGTCTATTAATCTATGTCTGAGTTAGCTTTAGACTTTCTACGTGGGGTGAATGCTCACCCATTAGTTACTATCACATACATGAAAGTTCGTCTAACTTTTATTGTACTTGTATTGCTAATGGC